GTTACATTATTATTTTTAAACGGATAATAAACAGTTCCGTTAAAAATTTAACAGCGCGTACACAAATACTACTTTGGAGGTTTAAAGTGTCAATATTGTCATATTGGAGATTTAAATTGGTAGTAAAAAACTTTAGAGGTTTATAGTGTAACTGCTAGCTTTGAAGGTTTTTTATGCAATTTTCCGGAAAGCAAATATCAAAAGAGACGAGAAAAAAAAAATCACTTACATTTGTTACAAATAAAGTAAAGATCAAAAGAAAACCAGAAAATTTAAAACACTTCCCCAAATAAAACAAAAAAAAATCTGAACGTAAAAAGCTCTCAAGACAGAGATGAGATTTTTCTCTTCCTTGATAAATCCCAATACCTAATCCCAAATTCCCAATAATTTTAGGCAGAGAGAGAGAGACGCATTATTGGGTTTTTGAAAAAGCCTGGATTCTCGCTGTGTAGCAAATCGATCTCTATACCCAGATTCTTCGGAGGTTTGATTTCATTCTTTCTCTTTTTCCCCGAAATTCGTTTTATTTCTCGAAACCCATAATAATTAGTATATATGTTTTGATCTCTTTCTTTCCTCCAATTGCAGATCTTTATATTCATTTTTGCTTTCTTCTCTGTAAAGTTAAGATCAATAACCTTAATTTTGGTGTTTTGTTGAGTTAATCATGCTTTAGACAGTGCAATACACTGAAGAAGAAAGAAACCCTTTTTTGAAAGTAACGATTTTTAATTTGTTCTTATCACTTAAAAAAATGTTTAATTTATTCAGAAGTGGGAGTTTGGTGGAATCCTTTGTTTCAAGCTTTTAAAAAAAGCAAATTTATAACAGTTTAATGGCATCTTCTTCTACTTCGTATCTTTACAACCTTACAAAAAGCATTGATCTTATTGATTTTTTTTCAGAGATCTTTGTTTAACTTTTTGTTAGTGGTTCTTTCTCATGATCTGATAGGTGTGTTTGATCTTATTAATATATTTTAGTTGCTAAGTCTCATTCGCGTGGTTGTTACAAGTTTCTTCTCACTTGCTACAGAATAAGTACTTGAATGCTTCTTCTCTAAGCTTGATTCTGTTTTTGTCTGTGTTTTGCTTCTTGATTCTCCTGTGTGTACATGTCTTTTTGTTCTCACTTTGATGTATAATCTCAAAGTTTCTGCTAAATTTTGCAGTTTTGTATGTTTAAAGTGCAGGAGCTTTGTTGGATGCAGTGAAGATCCATTGTTAAATGGGAAAAAATCTTGTTCTTGAGTTGTCAAAAGGTGTTTGCTATGTATTTGGAGTTGAATTGATTACAAGGAACAAAGGAGTTTGATTTTGGAGGAATGGTTTTATCGGTTTTGTGAAGAAACATCAGCTTTGGTTTGTTTTTTGTGGTTTTTGATGGGTAAAGAGACTCAGTTGGAGATTACCAATTGCGGAGTCAGTGATCACGGTTCTCCACCTATCAAGATCGATGAGCACGAGGCACCACGTTACAGTTCTGACAAAGACACAGGTTTACCAACTTGCCGTGTTTGCCAATGCGCAGAATCCGATAGAAGAGGAGATGCTGCGTTAGGATTTTTGGGTATTACTCCTCCGGTTTCAGAACATCGTAGAAGCAGTGCGGGCGAAGAAACTGATGATCAGAAAAGCTCGGTTGTCAAATCAAGCAGATTCATCGAACTTATAAGTCCGGATGGAGAAGTTTTTGTTTGTGCAAACGACGATATAGAAATGGGAGCATGGCAGCATAGAGATAAGTTGCTAGAACTCGGATGTTCTTGCAAAAATGATCTTGCTTTGGTACACTACGCTTGCGCATTGAAATGGTTTGTTAGCCATGGATCAACCGTTTGTGAGATATGTGGAAACATCGCTGAGAATATAAGAACAGTCGATTTCAACAAAGTGGTTATCGCCTTGAAAGATTACGCAGCGCTAAGAGAAAGAACAGCAGATGGAGATCCTAATCCTGTAGCGGTCAGCAACAACACTAGTTCTTCAGGGATCGATCCTGACGCAGTTGCAGCCATTAGAAGACAACGGCTTAGTGAGATTTCATTATGGTTTGGTCCTCATTGCCCCAATAACAATAGTAGTAGTCATTCCGCGGCTGCTACAGCGGCATCTTCTCAGGTTGTATCCGAACAACCTTTGGGTATAGTAAACTTTGATATCTTGCCCATGGAGAGCCGTGCGGCTAAATGGGCTGTCGAAGGTACAGGGATACTTCTCGCTACCGGATTACTCACTGTTACTTTGGCTTGGCTCATTGCTCCTCGTGTCGGAAAGGTATGTCTGTATGTATATTGATCATATTTTGATTTATAGTTTCATTGTTGATTGTGTTTGTTTTCTTAAACTTTGAACAGAGAACTGCAAAGAGTGGACTGCATATACTCCTTGGTGGACTCTGTGCGTTGACAGTAGTCATCTTCTTCAGATTCGTAAGTAAATAAGCTCACATCTTCTTGTCTTGTTGAAATCTTTTGTTTGAGTTAATGAAGCTGAATCCTGAATCGAAAACAGGCAGTGTTGACTAGAATCAGGTACGGACCGGCACGGTATTGGGCAATCTTGTTCGTGTTCTGGTTTCTTGTGTTTGGGATTTGGGCTTCACGTTCACATGCTTCGTCTCACTCTTCCAATTGAACATTCTCTGGCGTCATCCTTGTGTTGTTACTCTCTCTTTTTGTCTCTGTTAATATCGTTTACATTCTTCTTTTTGAAGAAACAATGTACAATTATTAATTACTCCCCATTAAAGAAACTTAAAGATGTTACTTCACAACAAAATGAATAAAAAAATTTCATCTCGCAACCATGTTTATCTTTCTTTTCTTTTGGTGAAAACAAAATTTAATTATGATTGTGTTAATTGTATGTTAACCTGTCTCAATCCTCCTCTTATCCATGACTTTTCAAAGTACTCTTTACTCGAACATGGCAAATATTTCGGACTAGCTATACCATTATATGGTTACAACTTACAAATTGCTTAAAATATTTGTGTTGTTTTGAACAATTAGGCCCTAGATCAAGCCTATAAATGAATAAAAACAAAACACAAGACTCAAAATCGATTTCATCATTTTCTGGATAGCAAAAGAATGGTAAATATTAAGTGGAATAGATAATAAAAAAATTGCGTTAGTATTGGAATGTAGTTTGTTTTTGGAATAAATATTGGTGTCGCCAAGGCCAAACGCCACATAATGGGAAGTTCTTATTGACGAAGCAACCTTTGCCTTGGCAAATGGTGCTGACCTAAGCCTAGTCCTTCGTATGGAGAAGGCAAAGACTCTAGGTTATGCTCAGTTTGAGCTTTCACGAACTCACTGCTATCTACCGCTGGTCAAAGATATCATGCAAAAAGTTGATACCATACAAGATGCAGAAACCCAAACACTTATTCTATTCTAGAGATGTTGAGGAGTGCACAAGCGGTGCACACATGGAGGGCGATACTGACCAAGATGCTCTAAAAAATGAAGGAAGGGCAAGGTCTGATAAAGGAACCGACATATCTTATGCTAGAAGTAGATGTAAGCTTGTATCCATGTGGTGCAATTTATTTAAAATAATATATTAGTTGAGTATTTAATTAAAAAACTAATTACATTTAGATATGATTGATCGCTAGGAAGAAAACCTAAAAAAAAGGTTTGATAAGTAGGTCAGACATATATCCTAAATCATTATT